GGGGTATGTGTGGGTGGGCTTAATTAGCAATTAGCGTTAGTCTGTACCTCGCTGATGGGGGGGGGTGATGATGATCCAGATTTTAAAATGATAAAATAATTAGAAGGGGCCTTCAAGCCCCTCCAGTGCCACCCCTTCTCCAGGCGGAACCCCCCCAAATCTCCCAGCCCCCCCTCCCCCAGTTTAGGGGCTCCAGCCGTTACCGCTCATCCTGTCCCTCCTTACCCTTTTCCACTCCCTTTTTCGCTTTTTACTTAATCTTCCCCTAGAACAGCGGTAAATCGGGACAAATTCTATCCGGATTGGGATGGCAGGGACGTTTTTCCCTGTATTTAATTCACATTTAGGTCTCGCCGGAGCGAGATTCGCCCCCGTCGCTTCCCTGGGGGGGGGATCCAAACGGCGTGCGGCCATTGGCTGAGCGCATTGCAGCAGCCAGCCAATCAGCACGCGGTCTTTGGAGCCTCCCCAGCCAATGGCCGGGCGCGGTGTGGAGCCCTGATTTGCATAACGCCTTGTTCCTCCAGCCCTTTTTCCTGAAGCGGTGGGTGGCTCTGAAAAGAGCCTTTTTGGGGGTTTTAAGAGAGGAAAATTAACTGAAGGCGATAAAATAAAATAAAAAAAGAGACCAAAGGAGCTGGGAGGCGACTTCTCCCGCCGCCTCACTTGCCCTTGGCCTTGTGGCTCTCGGTCTTCTTGGGCAGCAGCACGGCCTGGATGTTGGGCAGGACGCCCCCCTGGGCGATGGTGACGCCCCCCAGCAGCTTGTTGAGCTCCTCGTCGTTGCGGACGGCCAGCTGGAGGTGGCGGGGGATGATCCGAGTCTTCTTGTTATCCCGGGCGGCGTTCCCGGCCAGCTCCAGGATCTCGGCCGTCAGATATTCCATCACCGCCGCCAAATACACGGGGGCCCCGGCCCCCACCCGCTCGGCGTAATTCCCCTTCCGCAGGAGGCGGTGGACGCGCCCCACGGGGAACTGGAGCCCGGCGCGGGAGGAGCGGGATTTGGCTTTCGCGCGGGCTTTGCCCCCCTGCTTCCCCCGCCCCGACATGGTTCCCTCCGCGGAGCTTCGGCCTCCTCCCCCGCTGCCTGATATACCCTGCGCCGGATCCAAACGGCGCTTTCTGATTGGCTGCCGCGCCTCCCCAAGGGGGACCAATAGCGGCGCGCCGCGCTCTGGCCAATAGGAGCCCGCGCTTTGGATCCGCCGCGGAGGTCGAGGTTGGGGGGG